ATTGAAGTCACGAAACAAGCGAGTGAATTTCAAAGCCTGCCTCGGAAATGCCACGGGGTTTTCGAAATGGAAAACTTGTGAGGAAGCCGAATATTGTAAATGTACCAAATTTTACACACGGAACGATGGGCTGCCTCCGGAATTTCCCTTACAAATTACAACTGTGCTGTGAAGATCAATTCGTTTTTGAGATTTCTGTATGCACAAAGCTACTGAGAGGCTACAATATGTATTTGCTTTTTGCAGTACAAAATCCAGAAATAAACATAAAGCTCATTTTTTTCGAACCAACAACCAGAATAAAAACCTGACTGCTGAATTTGACCGACCAAAGTGAGCAGAAGTGTAAGGTACCAACCTGCTGAAATCTCTCTGTTACATCCCACGTTTGGAAAGCAGGCAGCAAGGTACCCTAAATCTATTGTCACAGATAAAATTGTGGGGCCAAACACATTAAAACAGTGAAATTATGAAACAAGAGAGAGCTTAAAAGGTATTTAGACAGTTCCTAATCTTTCACTGGCAGAACAGCAGAATATCAAAGCAAGGCACGCAGCAGTGTTTGTGCTGGGAGCCAGTGTTGAGGACTGTGATAGGCAGTAGAGAGAAGGGTCACCTGAAGAACTGGGGGCCAGAACATCTAAAAGGAGAAAGTGTTTGACGGGGAGGACAGGAGGTTGTCCCCAGGCACACAGAAAAGTAAGGTCCAAGGTTAACAGTGTGGAGGGAAAGCAAGGGAAAGAGTAGAAGGAACTAGAAAGACCATGAAGAAAGTCAAACATGACCAGAAGGGCACAGTCCCAGTGAGCAGGAGGGCACACCAGGCTAAGATGGTAAGGGAATCATAGAATGCCCAAKGTTGGAAGGGACCTCAGAGGCCATCGAGTCCAACCCCCCTGCTCACRCAGGGTCACCTAGAGCACGTGGCACAGGGCTGCATCCAAGCGGGTTTTAAAGATCTCCRAAGAAGGAGACTCCACAACCTCTCTGGGCAGCCTGTTCCAGTGCTTTGTCACCCTCACAGTGAAGAAATGCTTCCTTAAGTTCCTGTGGAACTTCCGATGCTTCAGTTTGAAGCCATTTCCTCTAGTCCTATCRCTGKCCACCACTGAMAAGAGGCCGCCCCCTCCTCCTCACTGCCTCCCTTGAGGTATTTATACACRCTGATCAGGTCCCCCCTCAGCCTCCTCTTCTCCAGGCTGAACAGGCCCAGCTCYCYCAGCCTTTGCTCATAGGGCAGATGTTCCAGGCCTCTGATCATCCTGGTAGCCCTGCGCTGGACTCTCTCCAGCAGCTCCACATCCCTCTTGTACTGGGGAGCCCAGAACTGGACGCAGTACTCCAGAAGTCAGAACCACAGGAATAACTTCAGAAATCATCCATAGGTAGGTGACAGCTGAGAAAGAAGTTGTTCTCGGTGAAGTGGTTCGCAAGCTGAGCATCGTGAGGCCATAATAAATGTCAAGAGCTCTCCAAGGGCTCACTGCTGCAATGGTCCCCATTAAGAATAGGCCATTTACTAGCAAARTATTGGCATATCCTACCCCAGGCCATTGGCACACTGACCACTGGTCCAGTGCAAAGCGGTTCAGTAGCTGATGCTTTGGGATAGAAAACCAAAGGACAGAACCTCAGGAAGTGGATAGAGCCATTTAAAGAGACATCAAATAAAGAATGAAGGAGGTAGGAGGTGAACCTGGAGAGCCCTGGGAGCCAGGAGGAAGAAAGTTGCTGAATCAAAGGCAGGAATCACCTGCAAGCCTCAAGGAGAGAGAGCTCTATCCTCGACTGTGCTACAAGGAGGCTGCTGATGACCACAGCGATGGCAGCTTCCCTGGGGCTCAACACGGGCAGGCAAAAGAGAAGGAAGCAGAGAACCCGCAGAAAACCAAGGGAGAGCCAGTCCAGGAGAACCAAAGGAGTAAGAATAAAAGCCCTAATGAGAGAGGCAAGTATGATCCAAGGAAACCTTTTTGTTTTTATTTCCACAAACAAGATTGCCAGGAAATTGAAGGGAAAGGTAACTTAGAAAGGAGAAAGGAAAAAGACTGGAGAGATGCTTATCAGAGTAGAGGGTGGTGCAAAAGCAAAAGGAAAAAAAAAAAAAGGAAAGAGATCAAGATTTAAACTCGGAGAACAAAGAGCAAATGGGATCAAGAAAAACGGTGGAAAGGAAAGAGGTGTGAAGAAGGAACAATCAGACAAGGTCTGATAGAGAAAAAAAATCCTCACACTTGATTAGAATGATATTATCATCAAGTTTCTCAAGAAAATGGCTTTCTGTAATTAAACTACTGCCAGGTTTTCTCTCCCCACCCYAGCATCTTTCCAACATGTTGGTCACTTCTGGTGCAACTGAAGGCAGCAGTCTCCAAGAAAATCCAATTCTTTGAAGTTGTGTGAAAGTAGGTGTTTAGGCAACAGAGAAATATATATGTTTTCTAAYGAGAGGAAAGGCTATAATGTGAATTCTTCCATCTTACCATTTCCAGAGAATTGGCACAAAACTACAGTGTGGTAGTACACGCCTTAGATGAAACTCATACTTTCCTATATACCAGTGTCAACCAACTGAAAAGACAGAAACCCAGAGCAAACAAGCTTAAGCTTGAGAGACACCTGGCTGATTTTCTAATAATGAAAAAAGCTGGGCAGAAAGAGAAGCATAAATGAAGAGCTGACACTGGGAATGGATGGTGAAGAAGATTTGAGCACTTGTGTATCTAGGTRGGTGCCTAGATAGCTGGAAAAAGGAGTGCAAGCTGGCAGCTTTCTTACAGTTTAGGAGCAAGCATTGTATGTGTGAAAGCAAGTGTAGAACAAAGACCAAGAGAAAGAAAAACAGACCATCAACACACAAGTACTCAAGAGTACTCAAGAGAAAAGGGTAACATTATTTGGAGAAAAAGYAGAAATTGCCAGCGTGGAGGATGCTGAAGATGGCTCAGGTGCTGTGGTCACATCCTGCTGTCATGCAGCACACCACTTCTGTTCACCTGAAGGCTCAGTTTTTATCAACAAATGTGACACATGACTTTGCCCCCAAAGGGATTACTGGTTGACTCTACGATCTTACCATACTGTTTGCCAGTGCCTAGTGGGTGAACTAAGAGAGCTAATCCAAAGAGTGGAACAGATTCCTTGCACCCTAGTCAAACCTGCTGAAGGCTTGAGTCAACTCACCAAAGTAAAACCAGTCTCTAACGTTCAGGTTATTGTTTTGGAACCTTGTTATTTCTCACAAATTGACAGGTTTTGTATGTAAGTCATCTTTTTGTTTTTCTTTTTTACAATAATTATTGCAAAGTGCTGAATTACCCTATTTTGCAAATTAGCAAATGAGTGAACATGACTATTTTTTGCTAAATAATGATTAACACATTACAAGCTGGATTTGCTCAGACATTTTGGTAAGTGCGGTCTTGTTTTAATTATTTATGAAAATGCTTTACCATATGTTATTAAAAGCCCTACAGGGCGCTTCAGTTTATTTTTGAAAAATAATGAAGTCTAAGGAACCTTTCTACCAGAGCCTGCAACTACACAGTCTACAGCCTCTATGCTTCAAGGGAGTGTGTRGGTAAGCAAATGATATGACTGTTTGTGCTGTAGTACATGTGTATGGTTTCCTGTTTAATGAAATCACCAAYAGCATATTTCTATCATACATTCTTCTTATCAGATATTGCAATGTCAATAATTTTGTGTCAACTAAAAGAAAAAAAAACCTAAAGACATGATCTCCAAACAAAACCTCAATATCAAAGAGATACTAAAGCAAGGAGAGCTTACCTAGTTACTTTCCACAACTTTGTGGAGATTAGAGGATGGATTAGAAAAAATAGAAATTAAAAAAGACAGGGAACCAGACTGTAACCTTGCAGCTTCCTGGCTAGCAGCACAAACTCAGGGCTATGATCTTTTATTCACTAGCATGGGGGAAGATATGAGATAAAAGAATAATGCMAAAATGCCTAAATATACAATATCAGAAAAATACTGTAATATTTCATACAAATTAAGCACCAAACCAGGCTTTCCATTCATTTACTCTACAATTTCAYTTATATGGAGGTCGCACCTGTCATATTGTGGTTATGAATTAAGATTACCATTGTGCTAAGCACTACGGGTAATTATTCTAATTCAGAAGATTAAACTCATGGATCTTCTGCTTAGTTGCTGCAAAACCCATGTTGTATCAGGCTACCATAACTACCAAAGTGAGCTGTGAGACCAGCTGCCCTGTGTTATCTGTTCTTTAGGACTTCCACCATTGCCTTAGCCCTTCACACATGCTCCTCAGGGCGCATGCACCTCCAGCAGTTGACACAAGGCACATGACTCAGCTGACATTGCCTCTCTGATGTCTATCTCATCTGTTGATACATTCCCCACTTTAGACCTGCATATCACATTACTGTATCCAAAGGAGAGTCAATTCACAGTCTGGCAACCACAGTACTGGAAAGCAGCACACAGACATACCCCGAATGCCAACACTGTAGTCTGCCTGATTAAATTCAGTGAATACCACCCTGCTAATCTGTTCTCAAACTCTTGAGATGAGTTTGGAGTTAGAGACTATGCCAAAAATTTCCAGATCATCAGATCCTCTCCCAAAATTCCATCCTGTTGAGACACATGAGGCAGCAGCACACACAGAAAGCAAGAAAATGGCCATGGATATCCCGAGGTTATACTTGATGTACGAGAAAACAAAGACTAGTCTTGAAGCACTTTCACATTACGCTTTTCATTATGCACAAAGATCCATTCATACCTACAGAAATCTTCTGACTTTGGTAGAAGCAACGAAGGGAAAGAATTCCAGGCATCATAGCAATTTTCACAGTTTTACTGATACGTTAGAATTAATTCACATGAGCAAAGGTGCTGGTGTCTTTGGACAGAATCAAGTCCCACCACACTTCACTGCTCAGCCCCTCTCTAAACTGAAATGCAGCACTATAAAAAGGAAGGGGGGTTTTGGCACTCACCTTGCATCCCTCACAAGCACTGACACCATAGTGATATCCAGATGACTTGTCCTGACAGACAAAACAGGGCTTGTAAACACGCGGGGGTGGAAGTGGTGAAGGAGGGCTCGGAACAAGTTCCTCAGAACTGGTACTCTGCGTTTCAACTGCTACAAAAGAGAAAAAAAAAAAAGAAGTGAAAATGTGATTTAGTAATTCATTAATGAACTTTAAAGAATCAATTATTTACTCTAGATTATAAAACCGGGCCATTTTTTTTTGTGTGTAATAAATGTTCATTCATTTCCTAGTAGAAATTAAGGGGAACTAAAGAAAAAAAAAAAAAGATAATTCATTAATGAACTTTAAAGAATCAATTATTTACTCTAGATTATAAAACCGGGCCATTTTTTTTTGTGTGTAATAAATGTTCATTCATTTCCTAGTAGAAATTAAGGGGAACTAAAGAAAAAAAAAAAAAGACAAAACTATTTTGTTTACAGCACAACCCAGCAACACTTTTAATAAACTTTAGCATTGTAATATCAGGTAACCTCTCTGAGAAAAAGCCACTTCCATACGTTCTGACCCCACATCCCCTTATTGCCTTAATATTTCTGGATGACCATTTGTTTTGCACCTGTTGAGGAGGTATCCCTTTCAGGGAAAGGACAAGAAAGCTCTCAGACATGAGATAAGACATGTGAACTAGATCTTTTTGAACCATCTGCATTAGTTTTGTGTGATATGCTGTCATCGTTCTTCACATTTATTGTGGTTGTGCAATACATTTTCATGTTTCGCTTACTTGTTCTGTGGCTTCTCAGATAAATCCCTCTAACTTTTCAACAGATACACAGAAATGACAGAATCTGTGAACTCAGATCTATCCAGAATTATAAGGCACTATCTGCAGACTTAAATCTCAAGAGTACTAACAGCAGGCCTTGAAGAATCAATGGAAAATTTCAGACAAGATTTACTGTACATGATATTTTTCAGATTACTAAGATGATATAGTTGTATTAAACTCATGATTCATCACCAAGTAGTGTTCTTCAGAATTCAGAGGGGATCACTGAGCATCATACCACTCTTGATTACTTGTTAAGGAAGGGCCAATAGCTGCTATTTTCACGTGAGTTAAGCCACTACCAACTTCAAGGGCAGACATTTGTTGAGAAAAAGAAATATATATATGCGAGAGTTCAATACTGAAGGCGTTCATTGTAAGCAAATAAATATCTTTCCAACAGGAGCAATTTATGTGGGTGCCTAAATRAGATTTGTGTGAAAAAACACAAAAGTAAAACAACAGCAACAACAAAAACCCACAGGTGATCCAATACAACATAAAACAAGACCATGTCCAAGATGATCATTACCCATTTCAGARCCTTTCCAAAGCAAATACCTACAAGTTCCTGCTGGACCAGGCAAACTTTATTAAATCTTTCTTTTTCTTTTTAATGAAAAAAAGAGATGAAAATGACTATTTCTTTTCAATAGTAATTTTTGATATTTAGGAGAGACGCAGAGGTGCTCTGTTATTGATTTGTGCACAGTCAGTCATCCTGCTTAAATCAATAATCTATTAGTACTTCTAAATTAAAGTTAGGCTCCTCGAAGCCCTCGAGAGGCCGCAGACTCTCTGCTCCTTCTTTCACGCCAGTCTGTGAATTCTAGCAGCTCCCAGTCACGCTGTGGAATGACAAAACTGGGGCTCGAAACCTCGGCAGTATCAGCGCACAATGTGGTTCCTATTAGCTCATTCAGCTCTCCGAGCCAGCCTAAAAGGCGGCTTTTAGGCTTCCCCGGGGAACACGGGGTTGTGTCATTCAATAAAACAACTGTACTCCTGCAATCCTTCTGTGATTTCAGCCTGGAAAAAAAAAAAAAAAAACAACAGTCTTCTAGGACTAATACGGATCCACTTCTGCTTTTTTGATGATTTCGTTCTCTGTGAGCGCCGGCCTCCCAAAGCCGGGCTCAAGCCGCTAACCATATGTGCGGCGCGGCTCTGTCAGCCACTGGCCGAGCAACAGGAACTTGGGATGCTCCAAAGGGAAGAGGCCGCCCGCTCAGTTCATAAATACACAGAGAGCAGTCGGCAGCTTGAGATCTGAAGATGCCGCTAGAGAATAGGGTTTTTTTGCTGGATAATTTGAAGAGGAATATGAGAGGGAAAAACAGCAAGAGAAAACAAAAGACTTTCTCCCACGTGCCCAGACGCATCTGCTCCTAAAATGGCTTAATCCACTCGGTAGAATATTTGTCAGACAAACAACTACCTACGGAAGTTTTTATTTTCCTAAGGAAAAATACCAGGAACGTGTCCACTTGTGATCACAGGCAAGTTGGCCTGTGTTTTGGAGGCGCCGGGAGCTCCATCACAGGGGGTTGGCTCCTGCTGCTGCTCTGGCTTCCTATACTCCTTGGGATTTAGCCCCTTTAACTGTTCGTCTCTTCAGAACGTATAAAGTGCCAGGAGAAATCAGGGGCAGGAGACTGGGGCAATCCACAGTTAAGTTTTAGCATTAAGCAGTATTCCTATATCACACAGGCTGCAGGGTGCAAGCAGAACTCAATGTCTTGTACACACAGCTGCACACAGGAGAAGAGAAAGAAAGAAAGAAAGAAAGAAAGAAAGAAAGAAAGAAAGAAAGAAAGAAAGAAAGAAAGAAAGAAAGAAAGAAAGAAAGAAAGAAAG